ACAGCGACTCCCCGCCATTGTGTTGGGCTTCGATGAGAAAGCCACACGAAGTTGTCGGTAGTATGTTCGTCCCATCCAGTATCACCACGAGGTATTTCTTGAACACATAGAAAGTCAAGCGAGTTTGCGACCAAGTCTGTCTTAGACAGAGCTTGACCACCCAAATTCCAGGAAGCCATCTTGCGAAGGAAGTTTTTTCCAGTAGAGGACTTCACAGGCAAAGCAGACGATGCAGTTTGGACCTCGATGCCTACGGCAATAGAGTCCTCAAAGTCGGTGAAACGCCCAGGATCTCGGTGTCAAAGTTCCCGCTCAAACGCCCCCAGGGCGAGATCAGAGCAAACACCCAAGGCACGAGCAACGGCATTGAGATCTACCCACCCTGTCGACAGAATTTTGACGTCCTCGTTGTGCGTCGGTTGCCGGTGCGTTGTTGATCCCAATTTCCATTCGCCCATCCATACTGTGCCACTCCCCCAATCGATGTCGTAGGATGCCTCCTCGGTCGCCTGCATATTGTGAGATTCACGGTTAAGGGCTGCATCACGTACCAAGCTCAAACACACCCTCCTCAACATAGAGCCGTGTGAACTTCTCCTCCTGGCCTCTCTTGTTTTGGTGAATTGCGCCCACATCGTACGATTCTCACCAGGTCCACCCGCAAGACGATGAGGAGTCTCCCGTAGGTCTCCCGTAGTACTTGAATGGTTTTCCACATCCTTTCACGTACCTGGCTGTACTGCTCATCTTGTCGAGGCTTGAATCGCAGTAGTCCAAATGACCTACGCGGCCCAAAGACCGTGAGTTCTTGCACATCCACCAAATCCTTCACACTCTCCCTGGCAAGGAAGGCTGAAGATTCCTCCAGGATAACTTGTCGTTTGGTATCTTGTGGCCACCCGCCTAACACCAACGTTCGTCGGTCCTCTTCACTGAGTTCATCACGTCCAGAAAAGGGAGCATCTCGACCTTCAACACCACCTGAGCTGGGAGGTAGATTGGCAGGATGTAGCGCAGCACCGTGAGCAGCTGGAGCACCTTTAGGAGGTAGAGGTCCATTCTTATTACGGAAGGCCATCCACGGATCAGGGTTAGCAGGACATTCTCCGGCGTTACCACCCAGCGACGAGCTACTCTTCAGAGCAACAACTTCTTTCTCCAACTTGGCGAGTCTTGCACTGGTCTCACCCTGACGCTTCTCATTCTGCGCAATTCTTCCAAAGATGGCCTCCTTATCGACCCTGCCCTTCTGGTTCTCCTTCTCAACAGCTGTCAAGCGAAGCTGAACATCCTGTT